TAAAGGCACAAACCCTCCTGAAATCTATGCCCAGATCACTAAATGGATCCATGATTCCTAGGTTAAAAACCCCTGAATGAAAGCATTCTTCAAAATGAAAAAGGTCTTCTGTAGTCATGACATAAGCCTAAGATTGAAAATTAGGCTTGTCAGATGCTACACCTTTTATATCCTGCTCTATGGAGTGGAGAGTTGGTCTCTGACAGAAAGCCCCTTGAAGAAACTAGAAGCATTTGAAATGTGGATTTACAGACAGCTGTTACATACATACATACATACATACATACATACATATTTATTTATTTATTTATTTATTTATTTATTTATTTATTTATTTATTTAAATTTTTATACAGCCCTTCTCCCGAAGGACTCAGGGCAGTGTACAGCCATACTAAAACAACATATACCCATAATATTTAAAAAACAGTTTAAAATATATTAAAAATTTGGCCCTTATATTAAAAAACTACAAACACCCAAATTAAAATTCATTTTCTAAGCCAGCCCAGCCTGTTGAAACAATAGAGTCTTAAGGCCACGGCGAAAGGTACGTAGGTCGGGGATCATGCGAATCTCCGGGGGCAATTCATTCCAGAGGGCAGGTACCCCCACAGAGAAGGCTCTCCCTCTGGGTGTCGCCAGTCAACATTGTTTGACCGACGGCACCCTGAGGAGTCCCTCTCTGTGGGAGCGTATTGGCTGGTGGGAGGCTGTCGGTGGCAGAAGGCGATCTCGTACGTACCCAGGTCCTAAGCCATGGAGCGCTTTAAAGGTGGTGACCAGCACCTTGAATCGCACCCGGAAGACCACCGGGAGCCAGTGCAGCTCGCGCAGGAGAAGTGTTACATGGGTGCGCCATGTTGCTCCCAGAATCACCCGCGCAGCCGCATTCTGGACCAGTTGGAGCCTCCGAGTGCTCTTCAAGGGGAGCCCCATGTAAAGAGCATTACAGTAGTCCAGACGGGAGGTGACGAGGGCATGAGTGACTGTGCGCAAGGCGTCCCAGTCCAGAAAGGGATGCAACTGGTGAATCAGGCGAACCTGATAAAAAGCCCCCCTGGCCACAGCCGTCATATGATCTTCTATTCTTGACCTGGGAAAGCCAAGGGAAATCATCGAAATCATAAAAAAGCGAAAGTTAGAATATTTTGGACATGTGATGCGACACCCAGAAAAATACGGCATACTTCACTTAATCCTCTAAGGAAAGACTGAAGGCAAATGAGGTCAAGGCAGAAGAAGAACATCATGGCCTCAAAATCAAAAGGGACTGGTTTGGGCAGAACTCAACAGCACTTTTTCATGTGGCTGTTGATAAAAATAGGCTCGCCAACGTGATTGCCAATGTCCAATGACGGATATGGCACAAGAAGAACCTTAAGCTTTATTTGGAACAGCTTACCTCCTATGACAGTACTTTTAACAACATCTTCCAACAACATATGCCTCTCCCAGATCCTTGGGAAGGGCTCAATGGGTGGATAAAAATGCTAAATCCAGTTTCAACATTTGGCTGGCTATGCAATGAACCCTAATAACTTGCTTGTAGGTTGAGATTCTAGAAAGAATCTTTATTACGCAGAGAAGCGTAATAAAGATGATTAGGGGACTGGAGATTAAAACATATGAAGTACAGATGCAGGGATTGGGTATGTCTAGTTTAATGAAGAGAAGGACTAGGGGGTGACATGAAGCAGTGTTCCAATATCTCAGGGGTTGCCACAAAGAAGAGGGAGTCAACCTATTCTCCAAAGCACTTGAGGGCAGGACAAGAAGCAATGGGTGGAAACTAATCAAGGAGAGAAGCAACTTAGAACGAAGGAGAAATTTCCTTAGAGTTAGAACAATTAATCAATGGAACAAATTACCCCCAGAAGTCGTGAACATTCCAACACTGGACGTTTTTAAGAATTAGAAATTTCCCCCCTCCCCAAAGGTATCAGTAGCTACTCACACTAGAATTAGGAGAGTTACCCAATTATTATCACTAACAGATTGGGAGGTGAAGACTAAGATATTAACACAAATAGACTTAGCAACTGTCAGCACTAGATATAGTATTGTCATCCAAAGGAGGTATGTGTGCATTACTTGGACAACAATGCTGTGTGTATATTCTGGACAAATCAGAGGAATTCCACAGCCGAGCTACACACATAGCAAAGATAGTTGCAAGTCCCCATATGAGAGAATGGGAAGGCTGGTGGCATTGGCTGTTGGCATTGGCTACTATTGCAACGCTCTCTACATGGGGCTCCCCTTGAGGAGCACCCGGAGGCTCCAACTGGCGCAGAGTGCGGCCGCGCGGGTGGTAATGGGAGCGACATGGCGTTCCCATGTAACACCCCTCCTGCACGAGCTGCACTGGCTCCTGGTGGTCTTCCGGGTGCGCTTCAAGGTTTTGGTTACCACCTTTAAAGCGCTCCATGGCTTAGGACCTGGGTACTTGCAGGACCGCCTACTACCACCAATAGCTTCCCACCGGCCGGTACGCTCCCATAGAGAGGGGCTCCTCCGGGTGCCGTCAGCCAAACAATGCCGACTGGCAGCCCCCAGGGGGAGAGCCTTCTCTGTGGGGGCACCTACTATCTGGAATGAGCTCCCCCCAGAGATACGGAGGATCCCGGATCTGCGCACCTTCCGCCGTGCTTTAAAAACCTTACTATTTCACCAGGCGGGCCTGGCCTAATTTTCTCCCTCTTTTATAAAAGATTTTTAATTTTTAAATATCTGTTAGTATTTTATACATTCAATTTTAAATTGGTTTTAAAAGTTTGGGGTTTTAAATTTGTCGGGGCCAAAATTATTTAATTTGATTTTATCCTACTTTTAAATTTTGTATGTATGTGTTTTATTGTTTGGCTGTGCACCGCCCTGAGTCCTTCGGGAGTAGGGCGGTATAGAAATCAAATAAAATAAATAAATAAATAAAATAAATTGGCTGAAGGGACTGTTACCTCATTTTAGTTAGTTAAGAACCCTTATAATGACCCTGGTATACAGAGGTGGGTTTCAGCAGGTTCTGACCAGTTCTGGACAACCGGTAGCGGAAATTTTGAGTAGTTCGGCAAACATGTAATAAAAATTCTGACTGGCCCCGCCCCCATCTACTCTCTGCCTCCTAAGTCCTAGCTGATTGGGAGGAAATGGGAATTTTGCAGTAACCTTCCCCTGGATTGGGATGGGAATGGAGATTTTACAGCAGAGGTCTTCAAACTTGGCAGCTTTAAAACTTGTGGACTTCTACTCCCAGCTGGAGAATTCTGGGAGTTGAAGTCCACAAGTCTTAAAGCTGCCAAGTTTGAAGACCTCTGTTTTACAGTATCCTTCCCCTGCCACGTCCACCAAGCCACGCCCACCAAGCCATGCCCTGCCCACCAAGCCACAGCCACAGAACCAGTAGTAAAAAAATTAGAAACCCATCACTGCTAGTATAGGCATTGTTCCCTTAATCATCTGTTGTGGATTACAATGCCTTCCGCTTTGACTTTCCACCTGTAAGCAAACTACGGGGTCCCCCAGTACATGGATATTGATGTTGGGTGAATCTTGGAAAGTTAAATCATTTTCAGATTCAAAGGGGGGGGGGGAATGATGGGCTGGCTGCTAAAACAAAGCAAAGTTATGGCATACACTTGAACGATGTACCATGAAGCCTGTAATAATGGAGTCTGTCTAGCAAGAACAAAGAATATTTACAAAGAATATCCACGCATAACACGGAGCAATTCTAGGTGGTTAGAGGTGATAACAGTAACAAAGAGTTAGATATCCTGCACAGCTCAGCTAAAAGTTAGGAATAGGGATGGCCTAGAAGAAATAAAATTTGTGTTAGAGAACTCCTGGAGTATTCATTAGCCAAGGTTAGAATAGGAATGGCTAGAGACTCCAAAAGATCAAATTGTAGAATTATTAGTAAAATGTTTATTAGATGATATTTCTTATTATTCCGCCTTGTCCTGCCTTCTCCTTTAGTGAAAATATATAAAGCTTTCTTAATCCTTGGTTCTTGGCATTTTGGCCAGGACCTCTTTTCCATGGGGTACCCCAATAAAAAGCAATCAAAACCTGCAATCAAAACCTGTCTAGCATCCTTCATTGGCCTCAGCACCAGGCTCAGACCGGAACTGGGGATAACACAGTGAGGACAATTAACCAGTGGAACAGTTTGACTTCAGAAGTTGTGGGTGCTTCATCCCTGGAGGTTTTTAAGAAGTGACTAGATAGCTAGCTGTCTGAAATACTGTAGTATAGGCTCTCCTGCTTGAGTAGGGGGTTGGACTAGAAGACCTCCAAGGTCCCTTCCAGCTCTATTCTGATTGATTGAGTTGGCTGTGAGTTAGCTGTGGCGAATTGGCCATGGGGAATTAGGAGAAACTTCCTAACAGTGAGAACAATTAACCAATGGAACAAATTGCTATCAGAAGTGATGGGTGCTTCATCACTGGAGGTTTTTAAGAAGAGACTGGGCAGTCACTTGTCTGAAATAGTATAGGGCAGTGATGGCGAACTTTTGGTTTTTCTTGCCTAAGTGTATGTTTCATGGCTGTTTGGTAACTGTGGTAGCCACTTGCTTTGTGACTGAGGTCTGGATGAGGAGGAAATGAATGAACCCATGAGCCTGGATAGCTCTGCAGACAAAGGCACTGTAATTTAACACCAACTATCTGCAATTAAAGTAAGTTCGAATCTCTCCAAGGCTCAAGGTTGACTCAGCCTTCCATCCATTCTAAGGGAGGTAAATTGAGGACCCAGTTTGTGGGGGCAATAAGCTGACTTTGTATAAAATATACAAAAGTATGAAGGCTATTGCTTAACGCACTGTAAGCCGCCCTGAGTCTCCGGAGAAGGGCAGCATATAAATCAAATTAAAAAACAAAACAAAACCCAGAGGACTGAACCTAGATTGACCGCAAGAAGGTAGGAATACAGTTGGGGCAGTTGCCATAGTAACAGAATAGCTGCATTCGATCTTGTTGCCTATTCGGCTTTCAGTCTTACAAAGAGGAAGCTTGGTACAGATCAGCACTTCATCAGGCTCCGCCCATTTGCGTCAACCAAGGTTTATTGAATCGTTATTGGCTAATTTATGCGTCAATCAGGATTGCTCCGGCCTTAAATCCAAGGTTTACGTCCCGTCGCCACGCGCTCAGCACTTTTTAGTGGTTGGGTTTCGAAGGAAAACGAAGACTTTTTTTTCTTCCCTTCCACCACAACCTTTGTTATTTTCTTCTTTGATAGGCTGGCATTTCTGCCAATCATGAGACGCCCGCCCCTTGATTCCCACCCCAGTCATATGATATGTTATTTTGCTCAGGAAACGAAGGTGGGTGTGTTGGGGGAAAAGTACGGTATTTCAACCAATAACGTAGCCGCGTATTCGACGCCCAAGTACCCCAGCCAATCAAAAAAGTTTTAAGAGCCTGCACAGAATTGAAGGCGGGACCAACTGGAACGTACATAATCAGCTTTGCCAGGTGCCCCAAATGATTATCTTGGCCACCAATGAAATGTCTACGGAGCGTGAAAGACGTCGAGAAAGACCAATGATTAAAGAGTGGGCGTTTACATCTCTTCCCCCCCCCTCCCCTTAGTTTAAGTCAGGGCGGAAGATGGCGGCGGCGGCGGCTGGGACAGGTCCAGGGGTCCCAGATGGGGAACCGGAGGGGTCAAACCGCGATCACAGTACTTTTGAATGCAACATCTGCCTGGAGCCTGCCAGAGAAGCTGTCATCGGCCTGTGCGGCCACCTGTACTGGTGAGCGAGGGAAAAGGGGCAGAGAGGTGTGGCACAGGGAAGGGGAGAACCAAAAGGCTGATTAAAAAAATAAAATAAAATAAAAATAAACACCTGCAACAAAAAGGAAGAAGGTGGGACAGGCCGAAATCCAACAGGTGAAGCTGTGCTTCTCTCTCTTTTTTGCTTTATTGCCATTCTCTCGAAAGAAGCTGCCTTTGGGTTGATTGGTTGGCCAGGTTTGGGGTGTAAGCAGAGGGGGGGCAGGTCTAGTAGAAGACAGGCAGTGTGGCTTAGTGGTTAGAGAGCAATTTGGGGAAGGGACTGCTAACCACAACATCTCCGGCCACTAGAAGCTAATTTGTGTGGTTTTTGGCCTTATAAGTGGGGTAAACCCCCACACCCACCAGTTGCCCCAGTTTATACTTTGATTTGTATGCCGGTGTAAATAATCAATTGGAGAAATCCAGCAATTGTGTTTCGTTCACTTAGATTTATGATTGACTTTACAGATAGTCCTCGACTTACAATCATTTGTTTAGTGACCGTTTGAAGTTTACAGTGGCACTGAAAAAAGTGACTTATGACCGTTTTTCACACTTATGACCGTTGCAGCATCCCCGTGGTCAGGGGCTCAAAATTCAGGACGCTTGGCCACTGGTTCATATTTATGACGGTTTCAGTGTCCTGGTCAGTGTCCTGTGAATCCCCCTTTGGTGACCTTCTGACAAGCAATGGGGAAGCCAGATTCACTTAAGGACCGTGTTGCTAACTTGACAACTGCAGTGATTCACTTAACAGCGGCAAGAAAGGATGTAAAATGGGGCAAAACTCCGTTAATAACTATTTCACCTGGCAACAGAAATTTTGGGCTCAGTTTGTGATTGTTCGTTAGGACTATCTGTATTTACATCATTTATTATACATTAATACATTAAATTTGTATAGCCGTCTATCTCACAAATGTCACTTGTTGATTTCTGTGTGCCCATCAAAATTCTGATTCAGTACGTAATTTTTCTTCCTGTTGGTTTGATCCAGATTTCTTTTAAAAGGTCTTGTACTTTTTCTTCCCTTTTTCCAGCTGGCCTTGTCTTCACCAGGTGAGTCGCTCTGTTTATTTGGACACTGAACTGTAAGATTGGCTGGAGTTGAAATGCTTAATTAACTTTTCCTGTTGTATCTCTTCCAAATACAGTTTTCCAGAAATCTCAGGCAGCATAGCTACTGGTTGGGACAGCATAGTTACTAGCAGTGGTGAAATGTAAAATTTTTTACTACCGGTTCTGTGGGCGTGACTTGGTGGGGGGGGGGGGTGTTAATGTGACTGAGTGGGTGTGGCCAACTTTAAAAAAAAAACTTTTAAAACCATTTTTTCTACAACTTCTTCGGCCGAAGAGATTGCAGAAAAAAATGCTTTTAAAAGCCTCTGACGATCCCAGCTGAGCCGTGCGATCATCAGAGGCTTTTTTTTACTTTTAAAAGCATTTTTTCAGTTGAAGAGGTTGTAGAAAAAATGCTTTAAAAAAAAAGCCTTTGATGATCGCGCAGCTCAGCTGGGCATGGGGGGGACAACAGGGATTTTTGCTACCGGTTCTCTGAACCACCTGCCGCCATTGCTACCGGATCGGGCGATCCAGTCCGAACTGGGAGCATTTCACCCCTGGTTACTAGCTGGGGATTATGGGTGATATAGTCTGAAATTATTTTGATGCCACCATGTCAGCCAAGACTGGCCTAATGTTGGACAAATCTGGTATTCCTAGACAAAAGTAATCTGTGGAAGGGATACAAATAGTTGTCAACTTACAACCAGTAAGTAAGTAAGTAACTCATTCAGAGTTACAGTGGACCTGAAAAAGATACTCTCGACTTATAACAGTTCATTTAGTGACTGTTCAAAGTTACAACGGTACTGAAAAATGTGACTTGGGACTGTTTTTCACAGTTACAACTTTTTCAGGATCCCCATGACGATGTGATCAAAATTCAGATGCTTGGCAGCTGGTTCATTTTTACAACTGTTGCAGTATCCCAAGATCATGTGGTCTCCTTTTGCAACCCCCTGACAAGCTAAGTCAATGGGGAAGCCAGATGCACTTAATACCTGTGTTACTTACTCATCAGCTGCAGTGATTCATTTAACATCTGTGACAAGAAAGGTTGTAAAATGGAACAAAACTCATTTAACAGATGTCTCACTTATCAACAGAAAGTTTGGGCTAAATTGTGGTCGTAAGTCAAGGATTATCTGTATTTATGACCCAATTTTGAAGTAGCAACACCTGTCCCCCATGGTCCCATGATTGCATTTGGGTGCTGGGCAATCAGCCCACACTCAGGGTTGTTTGCAGAGTCCCACATTTATATGACTTCAATTTACTTCGTTTCTGGCAAAAAAACGCCCATTGCAGACAATGGCTCACTTTATGACCATTTCAGTTGCTTAATGATTGCTGCAAAAAGGTTGTACAATATATCTGTGACCCGCTTAACGACCAGCACAACTTTAAAATGTAATTCTGGATTCAATTATGGTCATATGTCCAGGAAAACTACAGGTAATCCTTGATTTACGGCCACAATTGAACCCAAAATTTCTTTTGCAAAGCAAGACAATTGTTAAGTGAGTTTTGCCCCATTTTATTTTTATTTATTTTTTTTAAAAAAATTATTTTTAAACAAACAAAACAAAAAACATCCATCATCCATTACAATTGCAAGCAGTGTGCCGGTTGGTTATAAATCTTTTGTGCTTCATCTCACATTCATAATTGACTAATTCTCTACTTTCTCATATTATCAATCTAATATATATCTTTATATTATTATTCTCATTTATCTTTCATTTAGCAATAGCATTTTCATTCCATTAAAATCATTTTCATATATTATAACATCCATTTCATATTTCATTTCCATGTTTTATTATTTTCTGCCCCATTTTATGACCTTTCTTCCAACGGTTGTTAAGTGAATCACTGCAGTTGTTACATTAGTAACACGGTTGTTAAGTGAATCTGGCTTCCCCCTTGGTTTTGCTTGTCAGAAGGTCGCAAAAGGGGATCACATCACACACACACACACACACACAAATACACACTGGGACACTAAATTTCATCATCATCCTTTTTAGCCGTTGTCTAGCCACTGCGGGATGAAGGCCTCTCCCGCATGTTTCCAACCAATACGGAAGAGAACACGTCATAAATATGAGTCCGTTGCCAAGCGGCTGAATTTTGTTCATGTGACCATGGAGAAGCTGCAACGGTTGTTAAGTGTGAAAAATGATCATAAATCACTTTTTTTTCAGTGCCATTGTAACTTCAAACGGTCACTAAACGAACTGTTTACCTGCATTAGCTGATAGAAAGGCTAATCAGGAACACTTCCTGCCTTACAGGTGAATAATGATAATGCTTCTTATGAGAGAGAATCTGGAGGACTTTTTCTGTAACTGGTCAGCCTGATGGTTTCTTGTGTGGTAAAGGGGTTGAAGAAGGGGACTATAGCAGTTGAGGAAGGTTACCTCTGCTTGTGTCTATGGAGATTCTCAGTCTTTCAGGTCATGGGTTTTTTTTTTTTTTTGTTTTATTTGATTTATATGCTGCCCTTCTCCGAAGACTCAGGGCGGCTTACAATGTGCTCAGCAATAGCCTTCATCCTTTTGTATATTTATACAAAGTCAGCTTATTGCCCCCACAAACTGGGTCCTCAATTTACCTACCTTAGAAAGGATGGAAGGCTGAGTCAACCTTGAGCCTTGGCGAGATTCGAACCCTGCAGTAATTGCAGGCAGCTGGTCTTAATAACCAGCTTAATAACAGGGTGCCTTAAACCCCTGTACTACCAAGGCTCTTTTGGTTGTCCTAGAGGTGCTTTTTTCAAGAGACAACTGGACTTTCTGTTTTTTCTTTTGAAGACATTTCGCTTCTCATCCAAGAAGCTTCTTCAGCTCTGACTGGTGGGATGGTGGGGAATGGAAGGATTTATACTCCTTGCAGACTGCTGGTCATTTGCATCCTTTTAGCAAGTCGTTGAGGCCATCTGGAGGTTTATCTCTGTTGTCCAGGTGGCCTCAATGACTCGCTTAACAAATACAAATGACCAGCAGTCTGCAAGGAATATAAATCCTTCCATTCCTCACCATCCAGTCAGAGCTGAAGAAGCCTCTTGGATGAGAAGCGAAACGTCTTCAAAGAAAAACCAGGAAAGTCCAGTTGCCTCTTGAAAAAAAAAGCACCTTGGGTTACCTCTGCTTGCTTTCAATTCTTGCATAGGCACTTGACTGACTGCTGTGGACCTTTGGACTCTCTTAGCAAAGCATTTTTTTAATCAGAGCGACTGTCCTTGAAGAGAACCTCTCCTCGGCTCAAGTACGGAGGGGTCCGAATTTCTTAAGTAACTTCAGAAATTATATTAAGCTGAGGATAATGATAAGCAATTCCAATAGAGCCGTGGTGGCACAGAGATTAGAATGCTCTACTACAGGTTAATTCTGTCGACTGCCGGTAGTTCGATTCTGACCGGCACAAAGTTGACTTAGTCTTCTATCCTTCCAAGGTCGGTAAAATGAGGACCCAGGTTGTTGGGGGACAATATGCTGACTCTGTAAACCGCTTAGATTGGGCTGTAAAAACACTGTGAAGGGGTATATAAGTCTTAAGTGCTAGTGCTGTTACAAACTAGGTAATTAAAATCCCTCCCTTAAAACAAATTAATATTTAGTTGAAATAACAGCTAAACCAAGAAAAGTAAATCTAAAATCTCACTGTTCCAGCCTTGAAAGTAGCCGATTGCAAACTTTCAAAGCCAACTTTTTCCTGAATTGTCCTAGAAATGTTTTATATCTTCTGCAGCCTAATAGTATTTGAAAAGTTAACCTAAATTTTCATTGTACTCCTCAAAATTTGTTGGTTCTTCTCTACTCTCCATTAGGTCTTCAAAGTTTTCTTAAGTTTCTGGTGTGGAAACCGATGGGAACTACTTACGGAAAAAAAACAGTGGACCCAATGGAATTATAGGTAGTCCTCGATTTACGACCACAATTGAGCCCAAAATTTCTGTTATTGAGTTTTGCTCCATTTTATGACCTTTCTTGCCACAGTTAAGTGAATCACTGTAGCTGACACATTAGTCATATGGTTGTTAAGTGACTCTGGCTTCCCCATCAATTTTGCTTGTCAAAAACTTGCAAAAGGGGATCATATGACTGTGGGACACAGCCACGGTCATAAGTGTGAGTCAGTTTGCCAAGCATCTGAATTTTGATCACATGATCCCGGGGGTGCTGCAGTGGTCGTAAGGGTGAAAAATGGTCATCGGTCACTTTTTTCATTGCTGTGCTAACTTTGAACGGTCACTACCGTGTTTCCCTGAAAATAAGATCCTGTCTTATATTTTTTTGAACCCTGAAATAAGCGCTTGGCCTTATTGCCATGCGCTCAAAAGCCCGATTGGGCTTATTATCAGGGGATGTCTTATTTTGGGGAAAACAGGGTAAATGAACTGTTGTAAGTCAAGGACCATTGGTTTAGTTGTTAGATTATATGTTGCCTTCTATTTGTGAGCTCAAGGTGTTTTTCTCCCACAAGAGACCTGTGAAATAAATCGGGTTAGAGGTGCTAGGAGTGTAGAGCAGGGATCCCCAGTGCCCGGTCTGTGGACTGGCACTGGGCCGCGGCATGCCAGAAACCAGGCCACACAAACAATTGAAGCCCCATCCACAGGATGTAGGCAGCACATGAAACCAGGTCCCTTCCGGTCCACAGAAAAACCTTTCCACTGAACCTGTCTCTGGTGCCCCAGAGGTTGGGGGCCACCACAGTAGGGAGCTTCTGTGTCTGAGCAGAGACCAGAAGCTGGGTCTCTTCACTCCCAGTCTTAACACATTCTGGCTCTTAAAGCCAAGAAGGAGAAACTACCGGTAGTCTTCAATTTACCGCCATTTGTTTAGTGACCGTTTGGCATTATCATCGCATTAAATAATTACTTAACAACCACTAAGGGTCCTGCAATCACCTTTTATAACTTTCCCAGTCAGCTTCTGAAAAGCAAAGTGTAACCAGGAGGAGGGGGGGGGGTCGGATTTGCTTAACGACCACATGATTCCCTTAAGAACTGCGGTGATTCGCTTCATTGTGGCAAAATCGGTTGCGACTCACTTAACAACCATCTTAAATTGAAATTCTGGTCCAAATCGTAGTTATAAATTGAGGATTACCTGTGCTATAGTCTGAACTGAGCTTGAGACTACAACCTAGGTCTCTCTGCTCCTAGTCCAGTTTTTTTTTTTTTTTTTTTTAGTATTTCTCACATTCAATATTTTTACTCTGTTTTACCTCAGACGTGGCATTGAAATATGAGCTGAGAGGGGATTATTTTGGGTGCGCACCTGGGTTGTGTATAAGTAATTCTTTTGGACGGTATGGAGTTTCAGAGTCTGCAGTGTATATAGATCTAAGGAACTATAGGTGCCATGGCGAGTATACCCACAACCCCTGGCAATCAGAAACAAAGTACCTCTCTCAGATACTCTCTCCAATCTATGGAGAGATTTGTGAAGCCCTCAAAAGTTGCCGCCACCTCGATCCCCACAATGGACGAATGGCTGCAAAAATTGATGGAGTTAGCAGAGACTGACTATTTTGGTCAAAGTAAAAAAAACACAAATCCTTTTATTTCTACTTGGAAACCGCTTCTGGACTTTGTGCTCGAGGTGGGGAAAAAAATGAAACTTTGATTTTGGGTTTTACCGATTAGATCAGAGATGTCAAATTCACGTCGTCACAGCAGCGTCATGTGACATATCGTGACTTTTCCCCCCTTCGCTACAGCGGGTGTTTGCGTGGCCAGCGCGTGACACATCCAGCCCATGGGCCACGAGTTTTGACAGCCTTGGATTAGATAGATTAGTTGTTATAGAAATGGCTTATTTATACTATTATGGAAAAGTAAAAAGTTGAGGTTTGATGTCAGTGCCTTATTCTACTGCACCAAAGGGAGTCGGAAGTCAGTGCCTTTTTTTTTCTTTTCCCCCTTTTCTTTCCCTCACTTTTCCCTTCCCTTTCCCCTTCCCTGTATTCCCTACGATTTACTTTTGTATTTTCTTTCTATGCTACATTATAAACTAATAAAAACTGCTTTAAAAAGAAAGTTGCTGCAAATAGATACAAAGCTCCAATCGGATGCTTTAGATCTTAGCTTGGCAGCTTCTTATTTCATCGACAGCAGTTTTTTTAAATGAAAAGCCAGGAAACATGGTAGATCTCAAAAGATACCCAATTGCCTTCTTCTAATGTAAATATGTACATATTTGGAAGTGGCCATAAAGCTTCTGACTGCAGGGGGTTGGACTAGAAATAGGGGTTCCAAACCCCTGGCCTACTACTGGGCCGCAGCCTGTTTGAAACTGGGCGGCATGAGTGATGGGTTAACGTGTGAAGCTCCATACGAGTGGAAGGCTCTTGAGTGGAGGGTGCTTGTGCTCTCATGCGAAGCTCCCCTCGCGTGAACGGAGGGCGCGCAGGCTCGGCAGTGGTGGTTCTGTGGGTGTGGCTTGGTGGGCATGGCAGGGGAAGGTTACTGCAAAATCCCCATTTCCTCCCTATCAGCTAGGATTCGGGAGGCAGAGAATAGATGGGGGTGGGGCCAGTCAGAGGTGGTATTCAAATTTTCCGCTACCGGTTCTCCAGAACTGGTCAGAACCTGCTGAATACCACCTCTGATGCTCGCCACTCGCACAATGGAGCTATGCACACATGTGTGCACCTGCCATTCATAACCCAACCACCACACCAGGCCGGGCCACCAAGATGGAAAAGTTGGGGACAGCTGGACTAAAAGACCTCTCAGGTATCTTCCAGCTCTATGATTCTGTGTAACTTATAAATGTCCTTCTTCCCTTCAGTGGTTAGAAACTCGGCCGGAGCGTCAGGAATGTCCTGTGTGCAAGGCAGGCATCAGCCGGGACAAAGTCATTCCTCTCTATGGGCGTGGAAGCTCCGCTCAGCAGGATCCCAGGTAAAGGGTTCCCTTCTTTATTGGCGTTTGAGTAGGTAAAGGTAAAGAAGTCCCTGCAGATTTTACTCCTCTAGCCAACAAGCATTCGAATTTTGATAATTTGACCGCGGAGACGCTGCAATGGTCTTCAATACGTGAAATACTGCCATTTTTCAGGGGCATTGTAACTTCGAACGGTCACTAAACGAATGGTTTTAAGTCATGGGCTACCTGTAATTGTTTTAATTCTTTTTATGGATTTTGTAACCCATCTGGGTGGGCAGCCTGATTAAATCGAATAAATTAAACATAAAATTATGTTGCCAAAGAAGAAACGATCATTGGTGTCCCAACGGTGCTTTTTTCAAGAGGCAACTGGACTTTCTGGTTTTTCTTTGAAGACATTTCGCTTCTCATCCAAGAAGCTTCTTCAGCTCCCCGTGTTGTGCCTTTATAAATTCTGTGACCTGTTCCAATACTTCTGTTGGTAGAAATGATTTTCAGCTCTCGGAGTTTGTGTTCCATTCTCTTTTTCAAAACCTCACTTGTGTAATTAATCTGTGTTGTTCTTTCATTGAGAAGTTGGAACTGTGCTTTCTGCAGGATGTTCTCTGCCCTGGGTCCCTTCATTGTTGAGCTGAAGAAGCTTCTTGGAAGAGAAGAGAAATGTCTTCATAGAAAAAACACAAAGTCCAGTTGCCTCTTGAAAAAAGCACCTTTGGGGCTACCTGTATACCATGCAAACACAGCTGCCATTTAAAGAAACGAAAATAATCATGTTTTCTTTCTTCTTCTTTTGCTGTATGTTTGCAGTTGGTGGGGTCCTTAGTGCTCTCTGAGTTTGGTTGTTGTTTTCTTGGAGACCAACGAGATAACATCCTCAGTGCTAGAAAGGACCAGGGTCTGCTCTCTGTTTGCATCTGCAAGAAAACAAGCAAGCTCAGAGAGTACCAAGAACCCCCGCAGCAGCCCTGAGCTACAAAAAATTCTCTTCTATTGGTTGTAATTTGTAAGATCTTTGTAGCAGGTACATATTCCTTTGCTAAATAGGATGTATTGGGTAATGCAAAGACTGGAGGTTGTGGGAAGCAGCAGGACTGAGGCTGGGGGAGTTGTGGCCTGCCAGCAGATTCAGACAGTGAGGAGGTTGGGGAGGAACATGGGCCAGTCCTGGAGTCTGGGGAAGGCTCTGATGAGGGCTCTGCGTCAGAGGCAGAGATGGAGCCAGGGCCGTCTGACAGTTGTCAGTCAGCTGCCTTCGGATTCGGACATCAGTGAGGCAGAAGAACAGCTGGATCCTGTTCCCAGTGTGCTCATGCGCAGAGCTGCCAAGAGAAGGGAACAGCTAAGGAACAAGGGTCAACTCAGGAGTAAAGCCACAGATGGACAGTTAATGGCCCCTCCCCAGGGCCGGATTTAGATGAAAAGAGGCCCTAGGCTATTCCACTTATGAGGCCCTTTCACCTATAGTGAAAATGTAATTTTAATTTTGCTAACAATTTGAATGTAGGCCCCTCTTGATCTTGAGGCCCTAGGCTGAAGCCTAGTTAGCCTATAGGAAAATCCGGCCCTGCCCCTCCCATAGGAAATAAAGTGGAGGGGAGGGGAGTTTGCAGCAGACAATTAGTTCATTTGGGTGAAGATCTGTTCCTGCATTCTTGCCAAGTATTGTCAGTTACAGTGTGGAGTCTGAAAGTTATTGGCCTGGCCACTCTCCAAGCCTGAAAAAGGTCGGTAATTGTGAACTATCCTGAAAAGACTGTGGGAGAGGAAAGACTTTGCTGGAGAGGAATTCACTGTAAATTAAACAAAAGGGGTTTATCGGGACGAGGATTCAGCTTCGTGCTGCTGGGGAAGCCTAGGTCAGAACAGGGGTATAATCCTGCCTTTTTCTCCATCACGCAGATTGAAAACTCCTCCCCGACCCCGAGGGCAGCGCCCGGAGCCCGAATCGCGAGGGGTGAGTGCAGCCCACTTCTAACTTCCCTTCCCAAATCCATCCTGGACTAACTACGCTCTTCTGCAACACATCTCTTACCCTACCCTCCTTTTTTTTTCTTCTCCCCCTCCCCACCCCCAGCAGGGCATCGGCAGTTTCCCTGAAGCAGCCACGGGCTTCCACATGGCATTCGGCATTGGTGCATTCCCTTTTGGCTTTTTTGCTACGGGCTACAGTGCTCCAGGAGAAAGAGCAGGTAAGGCCCTGCCGTAAAGGGTATGTGTGTGTGTCAGTGCTTACAGAATTTTGGGGTTCCCTATGACTGTAGGGACCCAGTGGTTCAGTGGCTAAGACGCTAAGCTTGTCGATCAGAAGGTTGGCAGTTCAGCGGTTCGAATCCCTAGTGCCGCGTAACGGGATGAACTTCTGTTACTTGTCCCAGCTTCTGCCAACCTAGCAGTTCAAAAGCACGTAAAAAATGCAAGTAGAAAAATAGGGACCACCTTTGGTGGGAAGGTAACAGCGCTCCATGCGCTTTTGGCATTTAGTCATGCCAGCCACATGACCATGGAGACTTCTTCAAACAGCGTTGGTTCTTTGGCTTAGAAACGGAGATGAGCACTGCCCCCTAGAGCCGGAAAGGACTAGCACGCATATGCGGGGGAACCTTTACCTATGACCGTATTTCCTCTGTCTTTCTACTGAGACCGAAACTAAACTGAGACTCCATTCTTCTAAGCTTCTGCTAGAGCCCATCCTCAGGAAGCTCCTCTTTCTCCAGACTGTGTGTGCCCTGGACTACATGTTGTATTTATATAGTGTCTGGTTGTGTGTGGCCTTGTCAGACCTGTCCCAGCTTGGATAGTCTGGAAAGAAAGACTCTCGACTCCATTTATAGTGAAAAGTATTCTTTTACTGAAGGTCTATGGAGATTCTCAATCATCTGGGTCATGGTTGTCCCCAAGGTGCTTTTTCAAGAGGCAACTGGACTTTCTGATTTTTCTTTGAAGACGTTTCAAAAGAATATCGGAAAAGCTTAGGAGGATCTTCACCCAATGCAACATAAGTGCACATTTGAAACTCAAGAATACTCTAACACAGAAGCTTGTCCACCCCAAGGATAAAACACCCAGATACAAATTGAGCAACGTGGTATATGCAGTACAATGCAGTGAGCCATGTGCATTGGGGAAACAAAACAACCACTTCATAAACACATGACACAACATAGGAGAACAAACCCATCAAGACTAGACTCAACAGTCCATCTGCATTTAAAAAACAAAGGCCACTCATTTGAAGACAGTTAAGTCCACATTTTGGACAGAAAGGACCGCTGGTTTGAAAGAGAGGTCAAAGAGGCCATCTATGTCAAAATTGAACAGCGCTCTCAACAGAGGGGGAGGGATACAACATCATCTATCCTTTCAACAGTTCCAAGAAGGTTCCACACCCATTTGCACCACTGAGGTGACCCTGATGACACAGATAAGCCTCCAGGTGGCCTTAACAACTGGCTAAAAGAATGCAAATGATAAGCAGAGCTGAAGAAGCTTCTTGGATCAGAAATAAAATGTCTTCAAAGAAAAACCAGAAAGTTCAATTGCCTCTTGAAAAAGCAACTTTCGGACTTTCACTGAAGCCAAGTGGTTACAGCATAGCAAAGCCAGATCTGAGGATTTCCCGCATAACCCCAGTAATTTTACCTCCTCCCATCCCCATCTCCGCTTTGGTCATCTTGGTGATGTCCAATAAGGTTCAAATTAGGTATTTTGGTAACAGTTCCATATTTTGGCACCTCTTTGGATGGGCGTTTCGCATTCCATCCCCAGGCTGTGTCCTTGGATCTTTCAACTGTTGTCTCTGGATAGCACCTCTGCTTCCTGTCATCCCACCCCACCCCCCAGAGTCAATGGGGAAACCAGATTCACTTAACAACCGTGTTGCTAATTTAACAATTAGAGTGATTCACTTAACAAATGCCACAAGAAGAGTCATAAAAGAGGGCAAAACTCACTTAATAAATTTCTCCTTTAGCAATGTAAATTTTTGGCCTCAGTTGTGATTGTAAGCCGAGGACTGCCTTTATAACACACAGGAAACATCAGAAGTTTCCAGGAAAAAAAAAACCCCTGAGCTACAAATATTTTCCTTTATTGGAGCCGTTGATGTAACAAAAGCTCATCAGTGGTGTTTGAACTATCAGCTCATGAAACCCCAGGCAGGAACAGAGGAATTGGGACACTCAGATGGACAGCCCTTAGTTAGCAACGGATAGCAAAGAGCTACGACGGCGTTAGCGAGTAGTTCAGTTCTTTAAACCTGTTGTTTGAATGTGGCCATCTTGCTTTTAGATTTCACCTTGGCTAACTCTTTTTTTTTCTTTCTCTTTCTCTTTTTCTTCTTCCTTTTCCACAGATACAGATGTGGCCAGACCGTCCAGCTGGCAGGATTCGTTATTTCTTTTCATTGCCATCTTCTTTTTCTTCTGGTTACTCAGTATATAACCGGCTGGACCCTGCTGAGCTTAACCTGTACTAAAAAAAAATCTAAAGAACAGAACGAAAGGACTTTGATATTGGGGGGATGATGGGGGTGGGTGGGGAGAGAGAGAGGGAGAGAGAGAGAGACCGGGTTTTGGGTGGGTGGCTTTGAACGCATAGGAGAGACAGCAAGGAGTTAATACTATATGGTGGAGTGAAATTCTCTCTTTTTTCATCCCCTCACTCCCCCCATCCTGAGAATTAAAACCATAATAGGGCCGCTTGCTTCTTCAAGTGGTTTGCAAAATGGTTATCTATATACAACCCCAACCTAATTATGGATTGAATGGGGGGGGAGTAACTATGCTAGAATGATCCCTTTCTATTCTTCAAAGAAAGATCTCAAATGTGAGGGCAATCTCGAATTACGGCGAAGGTTGGAGACGGCCGAAGCAAGCCCACGCGGACTACTCGTTCTTTCCAAGTTACATAAAAGCAGGAGGACGAAGGAAGTCTGGCCTTGTGCATCTTCCTCCCCCCCGCCTGTTCTGGTTGCAATAACATTTGCCTATCCATTGGCAATCAATTTAATCTTATTGAGCCAAAGCGACTAGACCTGCCTCTACGTAAAAGTGCACGAATCAGGGAAAGGGGTTTTGGAGGGCAAGCCAAGGTGGACATGACAGATTCTGTCTCTGATAGAGATGTGGTGATGGGGAGTCTCCCTCTTTCAGCCCGCTGCCACAGGAAGTGATTGTGGGAAGGGCTGTGAAGATGTTTGAAAGTGAGAGGCAGGGAAGGAGAAGACCTGGTGCTTCAGGATCCCACAGGAAGTGGCTGCCTAATTTTTTTAACGAGATCAGGTGACCTCCCACGAAGAGCTTCTCTTGGCTACTTTTTTGATAGGGCAAACCGCCCGAGTTTTGATAATGCATCTGCTATGGTGGGTATTTTTCTCTCCCCCCTTTCCCCTCCTCTCTCTTTTTGAGGGAGGTTATTTAATGTTGGAGTAACCCAACCCTTTGAGATGGGGGAATGCTTGCTGTTGGTTGTTAATGCTTCATCCACCCATCTCTGACTCTTCCAACAATGTCAGGGAAACCTTTCAGGTTGGTGAGGGGACGGTCGATCACCGGACATTGTAGTCTTGACTAACAGTATTTTGTGGTCCAAAAGTTCCTTGGATAATGATTTCATTTGGGATGACGGAGAAGGGATGCAATGTCGATTAACCCATGCTTTAATTAAATTCACTCATGATTCCTATCCACTTGAAGGAACAGTCATTGAGAGAAAAATACACCCGTTTAGGAGGAAAAAGCGCAGAATGCTGCAATATGCAAGGTAGTCCTCGGCTTATAACGGCACCTAGTGACCATTCCAAATTATGAGGACCTGAAAAAAAAAGGATCCGGATTTGAAGTTCTGAAGGTTGGTTCTCCAATGCAGTCACGTGATTGAATTCCGACCACTTGGTAACACATTTACGGCCATTTGTAGCGTACGATGGTTTTGCCAAAAACTGCACTTCGGTTTTTGGCAAAACCACACCTATAGCAAACGGTTTGTTTGGTGTTCACTTAACGACCCTGGGTTCGCTTAATGATCAGTGGTTTGCTTAATGACTGCTGCAAAAAGTTTATAAAATCAAGCCAGTCCTTTGACCCACCTATTTATGACCACTACAAGGTAAAACTGTAATAGGCAGGCTTCATTGCAGTTATAAGTTGAGGACTACCTATAGAATCTACCTATAGAATTGGCATGGCTGAAAAGAGTGTCACGTTATGAGGAGCATATCACAATTTAACTATGACAAGATTTATTTCTGGCTGCAGAAAGTGTTGGTCTCTTTGCCTAGATTATTTGCAATTGCACCCCAAAATCCAACCTCTTAAGAAGTGTGGCACTTCAGCCCCAAATAAATAACTCCACTCTAAGATAAAATCCAGATGGCACCTCTTCTGAATGGCAAATGTTATTAAAAGGCAGAATCTTTCACGAGCTGCAGCTCGTGAAAATTTCGGCCTTTTTTCCAGCTCATGAAAGTTTCGGCCTTTTAACAAAATTTGTTGCTCGGAAAAAGCACTACTTATTAGATTCCTGATATTTTGTCTATAGACTGACATGGCTCTCTTCCTACAATACCTTGATGTAGAAACAGATTTGAGCAGAATGTTGTTTTAAATTAAATTTTTAAAACCTTTTTTGTCAGTCACTTGACCCAGACATCCCACCAGTGGTGGAATTCAATTTTTTTTACTACCGGTTCTGTGGACATGGCTTGGTGGGCGTGGCAGGGGAAGGATACTGCAAAATCTCCATTCCCTTCCCACTCCTGGGGGAAGGATATTGCAAAATCTCCATTCCCACCCCACTCTGGGGCCAGCCAGAGGTGGTATTTGCCAGTTCTCCGAACTACTCAAATTTTCCGCTACCGGTTCCCCAGAACCTGTCAGAACCTGCTGAATAGCATCCCTGCATGATCCCACCCTCTAAACAAAATTGCATAAATCCACAAACGAGCCAAAGTGAACGAGGGGTAAAAACCTAAAATGACCTGATATTTGTCAGCCTGGCTTTGTGGCGGTTATTTACCAAGGAAGTCCTTTGCAGGGATGTTTCCCCAGGCCACTTATTCACTCCTGTCTTATCTTGTCCACTTTTAATTTTTTTTTTATTATGTTATCTTGTCCACAAGTTGCTCAGCGCCCTGAGGAAATGCAAAAACCAGCAAATAAAATTAGGAGCGCTGCTCAGCTGCCTCTTCAATCCTACTCTTCCACAATATGCTGTCCCTGATGATGATGAGAGAGAGGGAGCTTATATTCCACCCCTAGATAAATGGGCTAAGACTTTACCCTTCACCTTAGTTTTGGGACTTTGTGTGTGGTGTATATTAGCTATGTACTAGCTCCACTAGCTAGCTGTGGAGTTGGGAAAACACAACTTATACTGTCTTGTACAAATCCAGTCAATTGCGGCTTCTTAAGACTGCACTGCCATCATAAGTTAGAAGGTGCACAATTTTTGTTGGCATGAAAGTCCATCAAGGTTTGAAAAATGGCGAGAGTGATATAGGACAGTGGTCCCCAACTTTTGCGGTTTGGTGGCCCGGCTGGGAGGCAGAAAGTGGAATCAGGCCATGCCAGTGGCACGCCAGTGGGCATATGCGCAGTTTGACTTGCCCGCCGCTTGCGTGGCCTGCTTCCAAATAGGCCACGGCCCAGTAGTAGGCCGGGGGTTGGGGACCCCTGGTATCAGTGGTGGGTTTCAAAAATTTTTACTACCGGTTCTGTGGGTGTGGCTTGGTGGGCGTGGCATGGCTTGGTGGGTGTGGCAGGGGAAGGATACTGCAAAATCCCCATTTCCTCCTGATCAGCTGGGATTTCGGAGGCAGAGCATAGATGGGGGCGGGGCCAGTCAAAATTTTTACTACTGGTTCTCAGAACTACTCAAAATTTCTGCTACCGGCTCTCCAGAACTGGTCAGAACCTGCTGAAACCCACCTTTGCCTGATATAGGAGAAATCAGCATTCCCTGGGCCTGGTATTTTGGAGAACCTAATTTATTGAGCGGCAATGCGATTGCCATAGGCCTTGAGGTTTAAAACCTTTATTATCTCACTTCAAATGTAAACCAAAATGCAGCACATGTGGGGCTCCAGTTGAGCAACCTGTGGCTCATGAACCAGTTTTTATATCCTTAATTTAGCATTATGTGTGTATTCTACGGAAATCTCCTCCTATGCCCCGATGGCAAAATTTATTTGGAAGCCTTTGGAGAGAATTTTACATTCTCCAAAGGAGCACTAGCAATAATGGAAACTCATCAGTGGGAAAATATATATTTTATTGTTTTGGCAAAATGGTATGAGAATAAGGGACGGGAAACCCCACCCCCCAAAAAATTATATTGCCTGGATCGGAATGAAATTCTGCCTCTCCCACCCCCAAAAAACACCTGTTTTTGCCTCATAGCTCCAAAATTCTTTGATTGTTCTGGCTCAACTGGGGAATTGTGCTCACATTAAGCCCACATAAAATCCAAATTACATTCACAATAAATGATACTTTTAAAGCATGTGATTGTTTTCAAGCTGGAGGAAGATGTTGAAGGAGCACTATTTGGGGGAGGGACCCAAGTCATTCCCCAAAAATAAATCGCTGCACGCAAAATACTGGATGTAATATTTCTTAATGGTGATTTTAAGATGCGTGGACTTCAACTCCCAGAATTCCTCAGTCAGTAAAAGTGGTTTGGGAATTCCGGATGTTGAAGCCCACACATCTCAAAGTTAAAAGGTTAAGAAACACTGGACAGTGTTGTCAAATCTGGCATCTGCATACAATTGTCCTCCCTTTCCCCACAGATTTTTGTGGTTTTTTGGAGGGAGCCGAGCTTGTTGATCAGAAAGGTCAGTGGTTCGAATCCCTAGTATAGGTCTCCTGTGTGCGCAGAGGGTTGGACTAGATGACCTCCAAGGTCCCTTTCAACTCTGTTACTGTTAAAACTCTTTGGCACAGCCTCCTGCAGCACAGAAAATCTCTCATGAAAGAATTGCACAAGGCCTGTCGATTAACAGCTTTGGCACGCCGAATGAAAGTTAAAATAGCCCGAAAGTGGGGCTGTTTTGATTTTGGGATAGGCCAGGACCCATTCAGTAGGAAAGAGAATTTCGAATGAGATGGAGAACATCAGTCAAATTTGGAATGAAGCATAGATTAGAAATGGGTTTAAAGCCTGTTTTTGCAAGAAAAATGGTCTAGTGATTCAGTTTCAAATACCACAGTCCGTTCAAAGTTACAATGGCACTGAAAAGCAAGAAATAAGCCATCTTGCTTTTTTTTTGTTTTTAAATCGCTGCAAAACGAAGTTGCAGGTTTCTTCTTCCCTGAGGCTGTGAGTGACCCATACACACTCACCTGGGGAAAAAAGCCCCACTGAATTCACTGGCGCTTACTTCCGAGTAGAAACACCGGAGTCTACAGCAAAGATTCCTCTCTTTCAAACTCGACCAAACTCTCCTCAAAGGGAGACAAGCAAGTTTTACATCCATCTTAAATTAAGAAGAGGTTTCCGGTCTTAACACAGAATCTGGAAATTCTGTAGTGCAGTGTTTCTCACTGTGGCAACTTTCAGATGTGTAGACTTCAACTCCCAGAATCCCCCAGCCAGCTTTTGGAGTTAAAGCAGCCAAGACAGAAAAACTAATATGTTACAACTGAAAATTATTCAACTATTTGCTAGGATTGAAGTACCCAGTCTATCCTTACTATTTGCCTGGAAGAGAATTCCCTTTTTTATTGTGTCTTATTGTATGTCTGGCAGTAGAGTAGAGTGGAGACAAAATGAAATCTTGAATTTGGACCCTACAATGTTTATTCCATGTACGGTATAAAACACTAAAATTTGCTGCCCTTTTAAAGCACCCAAATACCACCAGTGTCTGGAAATTGGGATAAGGATAGAGAAAACTATAAGTAAACCAGATCCCAACATATGAATACAAATACACCATTGAGCATCTGAATGCTGCCCAATGATTCTGTGTTTATTCCTCCTTCCCACATTTTTTTTTCTTTATTTCTAGCATTCCTGGATGCAAATCTTAAAAACATGTTCTGGGATCCACGAATAGCTTTGCTTCTTAGTTAAGGGACAGAGGCCTATAGGGAAATCCATCAAGTGCCCTTGTCTAATGGCATTGATCATTAGATACAGGAAGTCCTCCCCTTATATCTATTCATTTAGTGGCTGTTCAAACCAGTACCAAAAAAGGTTACCTACAACTGGTCTTCATGCTTATAATCATTGCACCGTCATATGATCCCCTTTTGCGAACTTCTGGCAAGCAAAATCAATGAGGAAGTCAGATTCACTTAACAACTGTGCTAATAACTACAATGATTCACAAGGTCGTAAAATGGGGCAAAATTCACTCAACAAATGTTTCACTTAACAGAAATGCTGGGCTCAATTGTGGTCATAAATCGAAGATTACTTGTACTGTGCAAATCTGGAATTTTAGTACTGTGAGAGCAGAACCCAATAGTAGTATGTTATATATTATATCCTGCAATTTTACAAGTGTGTGTGTGTTTGTGTAAATATCTATGGAGATTTATTCATCATAAATCAGGTCATCCTGTAACTGAACCTGATTTTACAATCTTTTGTGTGGCAGTTGTTAAGCGAATTGTTAAGCTGCAGTCATTAAGTGAATTGTTCCCTATAGGCAGGTTTTTTTCAGAAACTGGAAGTAA